CCAATTAAAAATAAAAAATTTAAAAAAATTTGAAAACTTAGGAAATATTAGATTTTTGAGAATTTTAAATTTTTTGAAAATAATAGACTTTTTTTAAAAAAACGATTTTTTGTATATTTTGATATTTTTTAAAAACTTTTTTTTTTCAAAGCAATCACACTGCTTAGCTGTTTTAGAGATGAAATATCGCAGTCTAACGGATAAAGATTGGTACAGAACCCATATAAATATAAACAAAATTTATAATTATTATTAAAATCTCTATAAAATATATGACAATTTGATATGCATTTATGATCATTTTTAACTACCAAATTTATTTTAATAAATCCCCGCATAAGTGCAATTGATCATAATCAGATTTCAAATTTAGAAAGTTATTGAAATAACTTCAAGAGAACAAAATACACTGTATTGAGTTATATAATAATTCTTTGAAAATTACACAGATTTATGTACATGGATATAAACACGTTATGCATGTACAATGCATAAAATTATCATTTTAATGTAATCACAATGCTCTTTAGGCGAGAACATATTGTAAGACTTTTTAAGGAAGATGTATTGATGATTGCGCATTTGTATATAAAATTTTATTCATATTTGATTATATTTTTAAGAAATAATTCTTTATGAAATGCTTGAAGTATTTTAAAATGTCTTTGCGAACTATACATTGGCAATATTATATATAACAACCTGCTTATATAAGAATTCTTATCCAAATAGGAATACTCCGTAAGGGTATTTAAAGTTTAAAGACTTATTCCGGTTGAATATAGTTTTACAGGAATTTACTATTTTATGATAAAAAGTATTTTTTCTCGTTTATTAAATTTTATTACAAATATATCAAATATCAATCGACTGCCATAATTTTGTTAGTACCTCCAATATTTTTTTTATTTTTAATCAACATCAATCAAAATTATATATAGTTCTGTAAGATATTTTACTACGATTTAACAACAAAATATAATAAAAATGAATATAAGAGGAAGTAAAAATATAATAATAATAATGACAATGAATAAAATAAAATAAATGATTAGATATAAAAATAGATAACAATATCAGAATTACTTCATTAATTGATTCACTTAAAAATATGTACTCAAGTACATTTATGGTCATTAACTAAATTTAAAAATGTAATTTTAAACGATCAGAAAATTAACAATGCCCAAATATAAAAAAATAATTTATTTATTAATATAAAAAAATATTAATTAGAATAGAATATTCTAGAATGAAATAATTAGTAAAAGTTTCCCAAGTTGGATATTTTTAGCGTTGTATTTTTTAATTCTATATCTTTTCTTTTATTATTATTATTATATATAATTATATTATCATTATATAGTAATTTTTACACCCGTCCTGAAATGGACAATAATGAGAAAAAATGGAAAAAAATAAGAAAAATATGAAATCTTTTGATCATCGTCAAAATTTTTGAAAAACTAGCATTTGTTATTGTAACATGAATTTTTTTTTCAATCGTGCCCTTTTCTTTAAATTTAAAGGAATTAAAATGCACAAATTCAAATTTGTAAAAAAATAATAATAATTAAAAATAAATTTGATCAACTATTAAAAAATGAATTTAAGTATATGCTAATATAAATTCATATCATAGGTTTTTACGATTTAATACAAAAATTAATTGATAGTATTATTTATGCTAATTATAATAATTATAGATGAATCTTTAAATATTGATCACAAATTAAACACCGTAGGAATTATTATAAATTAAATAATTGAATTATATATATATATATATATATATATATATATATATATATGCATATATACATGTTTTTCAGCATAGCTATTATTATTTATAATTTTATTCTTCTGTACTAAAAGCCTCCTTTATTATATCATGATTAATTTAATTTTTATTTAATATTTTATTATATATTTAATATAATATATAAAATTAAAATTTTATAAAAATAACAAATAAAAATAACAAATTTTTGAAAGAATATTAGAATATTATAATATATTTAATTTTTCATTCATTTTCTACATTTTATGCAATGTTTCCTTCCTCAGGAATTTGTTTAATAAACAATCACAAACAAATTGTATAAATTTATAAAATCTTTATTATTTATGTACGTTTCGACATTTAATTTTATGTCATCTTCAGTGAAATGTAAATTGAAATATTCCCAATTAACTAATGATAATAATAATAATTCATAATTACACTACTACACTAATTCTTGTCAGCTTAAATAAAAATATATATATTATACTAATGAAAAATATACATATATATATATATATATATATATATATACCAATATATATATTATTTAAACTGGCAAGAAATAGTGTAGCAGTATTATTGTAAATTATTATTATCATTTTACATTCCATTGAAAATGATATGATGATAATAAATAGAAACGCATGGAAATAATAAAGATTTTATAAATTTATACAATTTTCATTTGGACTGGGTCTTTTATATATATTTACATATATATCGAAATTGATATTTATGAAAAATATATATTTTTAACACAATGTTTTAACAAACAACATTAAAACTTTCAATTGAAAATTGTCAAAATTTTAAATATAATTTCTGAACGATTTTATAGATATTTTTCGTTATCGTTTATATTAAATTAAATTATCAAAAAATAATTAACTGGGATATAGTACATAGGAAAAGTTAGGTTTACTATAAATTGGGAAGATTTTCTATATAGAATTACATAAATATAATAATATAAATACTATTATATATAGCAAAATAATATATATTTTTAACACAATATTTTTTATTTAGTTGGAATTTTAGAATTTAATGAGAATTACTATTAATTAGTTAAAAATTGTAAGTGAAAAAGAGTCAAAATTTTAAATATAAATTAGTTAAAAATTGTAAGTGAAAAAGAGTCAAAATTTTAGATATAATTACTAAACGATTTTATAGACAATTAATCGTTTTATCTAACGTTTTATCTATTATTTTATCGTTTAAATGAAATTATCAAAAAATAACTAACGAAGATGTAAGTACTAGTACATAGGATTTAGGTTTTCTATATACTGGGGGAGTTCCCTATATATAAAAATGAATATGTTGAAAATTTATCTTTTTAATACAATATTTTATATTAGCTCTGAAACTCTTAGAGTCATTCTGACTCTGATTGTCATAATTCAATGAAATTAAAAAAAAATACAATATTTATTATTTACAATTGAATGGAAATAACAATGTTAAAAATTGCAAGCAAAAAGAACAAAAAAAAACATATAATTACTGAACGATTTTATTGACATTTTTCGTCATCGTTTAAATCAAATGAAATTATAAAAAAATAATTAACAGGGATGTAAGTACTAGTACATAGAAAAATTCAGGTTTCCCATATACTGGAAGAGTTCCCTATATATTATTAAATATTTTTGGAAATTATATATATATATATATATATATATATATATATATATATATATATGATAAAATTGTTTCCTGGGCATCCATAAAGTAATTAAAAAACAGTTTTATTGAAAAATGTTTTTATTTAGAGAACATACGTTTCGGGTCTTGATTTGACCCATTTGACCCATTTCAGGGTTACAAATTAAAACAATATAAAAAATACATAATTACAGACAAAAATAAGTAAAACCAATGTTTATGAAAAGTATATATGAAAAACAACCATCAAATAAACAAATGTAAAGAAACTCACCATACAAATAAATTTTTCTCTCATCCAATGACGATACAGTTTCCACTATTTTCCGCAAACACGTACGCACACATTTTACTCTCGTACACACACGTAATACATATTCCAAACTGACAACATGTTCGTTTGGAATAAGCTTTTTTTTATAATAAAATATATTATTTATGTTAATTTTACAATTTTTTTAAATTTTCATAACTCGACGTTTTATCAATTTTTTATTTCATATTTATTTTTTCGTGGAATTTTGTGTGTTTTTGTATTATTTTTCAAAATTTATTTGTATGGTGAGTTTCTTTACATTTGTTTATTTTATGGTTGTTTTTCATATATACTTTTCATATACATTGGTTTTACTTATTTTTGTCTGTAATTATGTATTTTTTATATTGTTTTAATTTATTTAATATTACAATATTTAATTGTAGCACTGAAGATGGGTCAAATCAAGACCCGAAACGTATTGGTCTCTAAATAAAAACATTTTTCAATAAAACTTTTTTAATTACTGGATGGATGCCCAAGAAACAATTTTATCATATTATTTCACCATCTGAAGAAAAACCTCTCGCTTATATATATATATATATATATATATATATATATATATATATATATATATATACATATTAAAATTGATATTTATGAAAAATGTATATTTTTAACCCAATATTTTTTGGAATTGAATGAGAGTTAGGAACAATGTTAATAATAAACTGAACGATTTTCTAGTAATTTTTCGTCACCGTTTAAATTAAATTTAATTATGAAAAAAATAATTAACAGGGATGTAAGTACTAGTATATATATATCTAAAAATATTCATTTTTTGGAATTGAACTAGAATTAGAATCAATGTTAAAAATGTATTTTTTTTTTAATTTAATATAAATTTATTCCAACATATACATAGCATTTTTTTAATATATTACAAGACTCGTATCTTAGAGCCGTGTTTTAATTTTTTTTTTTATTTATTTATATATATATATACATTATTTTCATATATCAGTCAGACATTTATATTTTCATATAAATACATATAACAATCAAAATTTCTTTATAGTGATTTTTCGTCATTTAAATTAAATTAAATCATCAAAAAATAAGTAAGCACTAGTGCTGTCGAGTTGAAGCACGTTAAATCAATATAATTCGTCCTGTCGGTACAAAAGCGCTTAAAACTTTTCATTCTAGTGTCGTTCACAAGTGTCGAAACAAGATCGAAAGCACAAAAGCTGTAAATCTGTAAAGATGTAAACCACTCACCCTGCTAATTTTGCGCACGCGGCCTCCCTTGGCGCCGGTGTTCTTCTGGGACGACATGACGGTCGTCAGGCGGCCCTCGGGTGCAGCGTACACTTAAACGTCACTCGCTTTTAACGGTCACAGACCAACACTAAAACTGACACAATTCCTTGTGAATCGGTGTATCGAACTGACGCTGTCATTTATTATCAATTCACTGACAGTGACAGTGCGCAGGGCACTAGACGATGCGACAGAGTGTGATTGTGATTGACAACTGATTATTGTTAAGAGAGCGCCCGATCGCAAAGGCTGCACGCGCGCCGTCCTCCCCCGCTCTGGTGCTCGGGAAACATTAAGACAACAATCAGTAAATTAGTAGACATAGTAAAGCGGTAAATTTGAATTTGTTCGGGTTACGATCTCCGCTATATTGTTACGCGTACAAACCGTTGCACAACACTGTTCCTCGACGACTGGGTCACAAACAGAAACAACAGATTTGTCAATAACCTATGGGAACACGAGGTCTCTCTGGCATCACGAAAACCACCGACGGTTCGACTTCGGCATTACAATACACTCTGTAAGCAGGGGACGCCAGCGCTAGACTACACCGTTCTTTCTCTGACTCATGCTGGCGATATGATACAACCTTAGCGGTGCGTCGAGGATAAGAATACATTTTTCATAGATAAACTAGTGGGCGCATGGCAAATTGCTGGAACTTCCCGTACCAATTTTTTTTTTTTCAAAAGATTAACATTTTTGAAAAAAATTTACTCTGGAAAATTAGATTTTTGAGAAACTATAAATTTTTGACAAAAATTTACTTATTTTTGAAAAAAAGACTTTTTGAAGAAAAGTGTATTTTGAAATATTTTGAAAATTCTGAACTTTTTTTCAAAGCAAACATACTGCTTTGACTGCATAAGGACGAAATATCGAAGCGCGTAAGCGCCGCGCCGCCGTCAAACATTGGTACGGAACCCATAGGAATGTAAACAAAATTTATACCTATTGTTAAAATCTCTATAAAATATTTGATAATTTGATGTGCATATGAAAGACTTTTTGAAGAAAAGTGTATTTTTAAATATTTTGGAAATTCTGAACTTTTTTTTAAAGCAATCGAAATTATTCTCACAAAGGTGTCGTTTGACATTTATGTTTATAAATTCCCATCTCTACTCGTGCAGAGAACGTGTTAAATCATTACTTACTATAATTACTATAATTACTTACTATAATTACTTATAACTATAATTACTTATTATAATTACTGAAAATTCCATAACCAAAAACTAGAATTTTCATTATTATTTGTTCCTTATAGACAAAATGTAAAAACTTATTAGATTAGACGTCGTTGTTTATATATGTTTGAATGAAATATATATATTAGGTTATCAAATATCTCCCTTCCGCCTTTTTGTATTATAAACCAAGAGCAAAAAAGCGGAAGGGAGATATTTGACAACCTATTATATATATATATATATATATATATATATATATATATCAAAATCTAATTAATTTCGTACTGCTTTAACTGTATAAAGACGAAATATCGAAGCGCGTAAGCGCCGCGCCGCTGTCTAACGGATAAACATTGGTACGGAACCCATACGAATATGAACAAAATTTATACCTATTGTTAAAATCTCTATAAAATATCTGATAATTTGATGTGCATATGAAAGACTTTTTGAAGAAAAGTGTATTTCGAAATATTTTGGAAATTCTGAACTTGTTTTTAAAGCAATCGAAATTATTCTCACAAAGGTGTCGTTTGACATTTATGTTTATAAATTCCCATCTCTAATTACACGTGCAGAGAACGTGTTAAATCATTACTTACTAATTACTGAAAATTCCATAACCAAAAACTAGAATTTTCATTATTATTTTTTCCTATTGTAGACAAAATGTAAAAACTTATTAGATTAGACGACGTTGTTTATATATGCTTGAATGAAATTTATATATATATATATATATATATATATATATATATAAACAAAATCTAATTAATTTCGTACTGCTTTAACTGTATAAAGACGAAATATCGAAGCGCGTAAGCGCCGAGCCGCCGTCTAACGACTAAACATTGGTACCGAACCCATAGGAATGTGAACAAAATTTATACCTATTGTTAAAATCTCTATAAAATATCTGATAATTTGATGTGCATATGTCTAATAATCATTTTTGACCGCCAAATGGCATTTTTTTTTAACTTTTTTCACTAGATCTCCGAAACCGCTAGACCTGCCTTCATGAAAATTTGATCAGTTCTTCATCTTGTTACTACAAGTAAAATGTTTTTTGAATTATTTAAATCGGACGCTCCGTTCTCTTAAAAACTTAGTTACCGTTTTTGGCACTTTTTGCCCCATATCTTCTGAACCGCTAGACCTGCCTTCGCCAAAAACTAATCAGCATGTTTCCTTATCAATACAAATCGAATGTTTTTTTAATTATTCAAATCGCTGCACCCATGTTCCCAAAATCGTCGACGAAAATTTGTATCCGCACACACATGCATCCATTTTTTCTAAGGTATGCCAAAATATTTAGAAACCTCTGAAACGTAAAGATATATAAAAATTTTCATTTTCGATTTTTTTGCGATTACTATAACTTACCCTACGGGAAGTTAATAAGCATTAGACATTATCAACCTTTTGTACTGTAATAAACTAATGGTGTAGTGGCATCGTGCCTTAACGCAAATTGCTGGAACTTCCCAAACCAAAAACTAATTTTGTTAAAAAAAACTTTAAATTTTTTTTAAAACTTGAAAATTTTGAAATTTTTGAAAAAAATGGACTTCTCAAAAATATAGATTTTTCTTATATTTTGAATTTTTTTGAAAATTTGAACTTTTTTCAAAGCAATCGCGTTGCGTAGCTGTTTTAGAGACAAAATATATCAGCATGTAAGCGCGCGTCGCAGTCTAAAAAGTAAATATTAGTACGGAACCCATAAAAATGTGAATAAAAATTTTCAAAGCAATCGCGTTGCGTAGCTGTTTTAGAGACAAAATATATCAGCATGTAAGCGCGCGTCGCAGTCTAAAAAATAAATATTAGTACGGAACCCATAAAAATGTGAATAAAAATTTTCAAAGCAATCGCGTTGCGTAGCTGTTTTAGAGACAAAATATATCAGCATGTAAGCGCGCGTCGCAGTCTAAAAAATAAATATTAGTACGGAACCCATAAAAATGTGAATAAAAATTGTACTTGTTAAGATCCTCATAAAATATCTGATAATTTGATGTGCCTATGTCTAATGATGCGCCAAAATAGCATTTATTACTATTTTTATTACATTTCCGAAACTGCTAAACCTGCCTTTCCAAAAATTTAATCAATTCTTCATTTCAATACAAATAAAATATTTTAAATAAAAAACTGAATCACCATTTTTGGCACATTTTGTTCCGTATTTTCGAAACGGTTGGACCTGGCCCTTTACCAAAAACTAATCAGCACGTCTCCTGATCAATATGAATCGAATATTTTTTGAATTATTCAAATCGGTTGATCCGTCTTACCGAAATCTTCGACAAAAGTTTGTATCCTCACAAACAATTACACATACATTCATTTTTTTAAGGTATGCCAAAATGTTCAGAAACCTTTGAAACGTAAAGTTATGCAAAAAAAAATATTTTTAATTTTTCTGCGATTACTATAACTTACCCCTACGTTAATTAATTTTCAAATGAACAATAAATATATTTAAATTTGAAAATGTCTGTGTATTTGCTGTGCGATCAGGCGTAGTTTACATATAAACAAGACGGTGAGAATTTTACGATAACATTGCAGATTCTTTTATCATAACATTCTTCCTTGCTTGTTGATATATAAAATACGCCTAATCGCACAGCAAATAAATAGACGTTTTCACAATTTTCACTGCCAATAAACAAGCATAAGATAGCGTTGCCATGACAACGCTATGTTATGAGCTTTGTTATGGCAGAATTCCTCCATAAATATATAAAAAAAATAAGTGTAACTATAAACTAATATAAAAGCTATATAATCCACGAAAAAAATTAAGTAATAGTAAAACAAAAAAAAATGTTTTAAAATTGGTTTCTTACTTCAAATTTCGAAACAGTCCTAAATGTATATCATTTATGCCTTACCTAACAGAAGTGTAAAAATAACATATAACATAACATTTTAAATGAATACAAGTAAACGCACATGTTAGATTCAACGCGCTTGAAAACCAGTGCCAACTTCTTAATATAAATAGACATGCAACGGCGGGAAGAATTTGAATTCAATTTCAACAACATGTAATATAAAATTAATCAATTTGTTTATAAAATAATGTTCAAATCATAATTTATTACATATATATATATATATATATATATATATATATATATGTTTCTTTTCCGAATAATAAATCCAATAAATAAAATATTGTTCGGAAAGGAAAGATATCTATTGAAAAAATCCAAGACTTCTATCAAATATATATATATATATATATATATATATATATATATATATATATATATACGATATATATATATATACGTTTCGGCTATAATCCTAGCCTTCATTCAGTGAAAACCAAAAATAAAATTGAAAACTAAACCAATTGAATTGGCGTGAAAGAAAAAAAATATAAAGAGTAAAAAGTGCTTACAATTACTTAATCTTAGTGTTTGGAAGATTCTAATAATTCAATTCTAATTCTAATAAACCATGGATTATTAGAATCTTCTAATTTAACACAAAGATTAATAAATTTCAAGTATTTTTTACTCTTTATATTATTTTTTTTCACTCCAATTCAATTGTTCAATTGTCTCAACGTCGAACAAAAAAATCTAAAAATTTATATGTATATATATATATATTTCATAATCTCTTATACCAGGCCTGAGATATAAAAAATATATTAATAAAGTTTATATTATTTTAATTATATTAATAAATATATATTAAAAAAAAAAACAATTCAATTGATAAAGGAAATGACTGAATGTTGTATATTCTATCGATTTAATTGGTTATTGATTTAAGAGATTTGATGTTTAGAACATTACATTTTATATAAAAGTACCATCATATGGAGCACTGGAGCATTACAACATCTTGACAAATGTTTACACATTTGTATAAAATAGCTTTAGCAAAAACATTTGCGCAATCATTATTTCAAAATTTACACAATAAATTATATTTTGCTTTAATTATAGAAATCCACACAGAATTTGGTTTATACTGTCTGCTTCAATAAACAAAAGATGGAAATGCATATTGATTTCCTTTGTAGTTGTGTGTAATTAATAATTAAAGCATCAAAATATTGATTATAATACTCCTACCAGCATATGCAATACCACATCACTTTACTTTATTAAAAAATACTGAAAAATACAACAAGACACTTCCAAAATGATCCATTTATTACAAAAATTAATACAAAATGATACAGTAGATCATTTCAAGTTATTTTGGTTCTGTACACTGACCTAAAAAACTCTTAAGTAAAACCTAACTTCAGTTAATAATAGTTTGTACTATGATTGGCTACTTTAAAAACCAAAAAAATATATATAATTCCACAAACACAGATATTTTAATACAATTTATCTCCAATACTTCAAGAAACATCAATATTTTGTGATAATCGATTACTAATACACAATCGCCAACCCTAAACAGTAGATATGTTAGCTAATTATTATTATGAACACTTCAGATTTTTATTAAAAATGTTTTTTTTTTAAAAAAAAAATTAAATAAAATGCAAATATTGTCAGATTTCATTTAGTTGTTAGCTATAAATGTTAACACCTGAAACCGTTCACATCAATGTCTAATATGTTAAAACAATTAAACTTGACAGTTAAGAAAGTACATAATTACCCATACCAAATTTTTTAAAAAATATATGGAACTATTACATCATGAAAATAATAAGCAAGGTACTGTGAAACTATATTTATTTCTAACCTAAAATTTACAAAAATGATATACAGCAATTTAACCTGAAGATGATTTCGAGGATGGTTATTTCGACAACTTGATTTGTAGAATAAAAAAAATGCTGTATCATATTTTATTATTATACTATAAGAATGTTCTGAACTAGAAAAAACATAAGTGGTAACAAATTGATAACATACTTGTACTATGATGTGCTAAAGTGCTTTGTAATTAAATCTAAATGAAAATGGGAGATTCAAAAGCATAAATGAAAAATTACCCTACTTCCCTTGCAATTTGCATCAAAACTCATTCTTTAGAGATTTCGTTTATTAAGTTGTAAATTATATATAATTAAGAGCTAATGATATTTATAAAAAATATTACACAAAATAATTCGTCAAACATTTAAACAAAAATTTGAACTTTCCAATGTATATGTATAATAAAGGGAACATTAAAAAGGACCAATTCAAAGGAACGGGATGAGGCTGACATGGATTAAGTAGAAAAAAAGAATATAATTGTAACAACCGGAGATCTTCAATTTGGGTCCAAGTCTCAATTCAACAAAGGAATGTTAGTGAAATTTTGCAATAGCTATGTGAAGATATGTTTAGCTATGAAATAAAGCATAACAAACTAAGAAAAAGTTTTCTTACAACACAGTGCAGCAATTCTTATTGCATTAGTCAAGGAAAAAAAACATAAATCGAAGTTGTCCACTGAAGTGGTTTGAAACTTGGTTCCATTCATAAATATTTGATTTTATACTTTAATAATCTATAGTGTAATAGTAAGTAATACCATTAAATACTTTAAGGTTGGTTTTACAAATAGCTTAAAACTTAGGCTGAGGCTGTTTCCTTATCGGCGACTTCTGAATCGTCATCTTTTTTTGCTTTTTTCTCGGGGGTGGGTACATCATCCTCCTTGTCTCCTTCTTTTGTAACGCCTGATTTCCTTTTGACAGGACATACAGGTTCAGAGGCAACAACTACAATAAAATATGTATATTAGATATGCATATTCTTAATAAATAAATATATATTTATTGCTTATAAGATTGTTATTTACCGGTACTGTCTCCATTGGGTGTTTCGGAAGCAGTATCCTCTTTTGCTACATCTCGTTTCTCAGGGGATCCATTGGTTGGTGCCTCAGAAGTTTCGGTAGACTCCGTGGTATCCTTAGCTTTTACTGGGGACTTTGCTGGAGTCGTAGTTCCCACCTCGACGCCATCAACCACCTCTTTCTCTTCGGCTACCTTTACAGGTGATGCAACGGTTCTGAAAAAATTAATGGTAAATAAAGCAAACCTACAAATCAAAAAATAAATCATCTATGCTATTAAAAGTAATCACACTACAAAAAAGCAACAGTTGCACTTAATTCTATATCAGAAAATCACTTATTTAGTACCCATTCGGAAACTAAATGTGATCGGAAATGAATATAAGTGTCTAATAGCTAATCATCAGTTGTACATGCATTATATTAAAGTAAAAGATCTGCCTAAAGTTCAAAAAACAATGTTACTATCAGGCAGCCCTTTGAACAAACAAATTCTGGATAATGTTAATTTGCCAAAGCTATTATTTTCTACGAAAATCACACCTATAGTGCCCTAAGCAGGTTAAAACCAATGCATGTGCTCTATTTTTTTTTTTAAGTGCAGAAAAAACAAAATCGCACGCTACAGGTATAAATACACAATTGACGTGTCTTTAAGTAAGTGATAAGCAAACCAAAACTAGTGAATATAAAATTCAAGAGAAAACAAAAAAATGCAGAATATATTAAAGCAGAATAGTTTTAAAATCCCTTTGAGTTACCACATATTTTCAAATTTCAATTCGAGTGTCGTTTTCGTTTGCAGCTGTGTGCGTGCGCTAAGCCGCACGCGATCGTAGCTCCACGCGCTACATCACGGCATAAATGAGAAACCTTGGCGCCAAAAGAAGAACGCTGAACCGGCAAAATCAATTATCAAACGCATTTTATAACAATCTAAATCGTTAGAATAATCAATCGTCATGGGTTGCGACAACTAATTCACAATCAACTTGTGAAACAAATTCAAATAACGTGTGCAGAACCACATGGCGTCGTACGCACTTTCACAAGTATTACACAATTATAGCAAAAACAAGAAATAATATCTTCAATTAAAACAGTAATTCTATTGTATACAATGAAAACGTAACGCACACAACAAGTTAGTGTGATAGAACATGAAACAAGAAACCACGCTAACGCAGCCATCTTGACGACTAACATAACCACCGCTACAGGCATAATTACAACAAAATTAAAAAAAGTAAGTACTCACGAGCTCTTATCATCAGCCATTCTAACAGATTTAAATATTTAATTTAACTTTTTAAAAGTTTTTATAAAATTTGTATAAACAGCGCGAACTCTCCGCTACAAACTGCACAAAGTCTAAACGAGAACTAAAACACGTCTGAATGCCGCTCGAATCAGAACGCCGGTAACCCGACGAAACCCGAACGCGCACGCGTTCGGCGCAGATCGGCTCGTTCGGCTTTGGAGAGGTGGCCGGTGTATAGCGTTGTAATGAGTAAGAGCAGTACGATATGTTCCATTTCGCACGACTTCAAATTACACAGAAACGCTATGTAGTCGTCGCCATGGAACAATGAGCGACTACCGAATATTAACTGGGGGAACGAACTTATGGAAAAATCCAACCGGTGTTCTGTAGCAATGATAAAACACGGTAATATAACAGCGCTCATCGTATTTCGTCAAAAGAGGTTTCAAATACTACACTTTCAATTAATTTTTACCTTATCGCAAATAAAACATCCCACAACGATAATAATCATATTAGAATGTATAATAGTTGTGCAAAACACTTCAGGCTTTCCGGCTGCAAAATTAAAACCATAAGCAGCAAAACAAAATAAATATTCTTATTAATCTTACTTTATTTTTAATTCAAACGAATAAAAAATGTATAAATATAATGTAATACGATTCAACAGAAGTAGAACACTTTACACCAGTGCTACCACCCTTACAAAATTTTCACTAGAAAACTGTTCAACTGATTCAATCGTTAACTAACTTCATTCCTATATCCTTGTACACTCCAAACCACTAATAAGGTTTTATTGAAACAAATGTATTTAAATCTGTATTTTTTGTATCACTAACACTTAAAAAACAATCTAGAAATCACAAACTGAACATTGTAGATTTTATTTAATGTTAATCTAAAGCATTTACTAAATATGCTTAATCAAACAATGATATCATAGACGCTGTTCGCCTTAGACAACGTGTAGAAACCTTGGCCTTTGATCAGTTGTCCCACTAAAACGGCTTTTCTTTATCAACTTTATCATTAACAATAACGGAAAAAATGTTTTTAAATTTGCGTACGTAATATTTGCGTAAGTATGAGAAAATAACAATAAATTTTTATATGCTATTGTAACATAAACAAATACGAATAATGAGCAAGCTCCAGTAAAATCGTACGCTTTTCCAAGCTTGTTAGAGAAAAAATGTAAATGGTAATAAGTAATAATGTAACATCATACGTACGTTGTTTTTTAGAGGTTGTTACACCTACTTATTAAGTTCTCGTAAATACAATTTTTCATATATTTACGTTTCAGCACCTTCTGAACATTTTAGCACACCTTAGAAAAAATGTATGTATGTGTGTGTTTATATGTATGTTTGGATACAATTTTTCGTACGCGATTTCGAGAGCACGGATCATTCGATTTTAGTTATTCAAAAAACATTCGATTGCTATTCGTGAGGAGACATGCTGATTTGGTTTAGGCAAAGGCAGGTCCAGCTGTTTCGAAGATACGGGTCAAATATTAACAAAAATGGTAATTTTGAGAGAACGGAGCGTCCGAATTGGATGATTCAAAAAACATTTTACTTGTATTGATGTCATGAAAAATTGGTTGGATTTTTGGAAAGACAGGTCCAGCAGTTTTGGAGATCCTATGAGAAAAGTTAGAAAAAATGCCATTTGGCGGTTAAAAGTGATCATTAGACTTTGTGCACATCAAATTATCAGATACTTTATAGAAATTTCAATAGTACGTACCGTGATGCTATTGATGAGGAGACGTGCTGATTAGTTTTTGGCAAAGGCAGGTCCAGCCGTTTCAAAGACACGGGGCGAAAAGTAACAAAAATGTAAATTTTGAGAGAACGGAGCGTCCGATTTGGATGATTCAAAAAACATTTTACTTGTATTGATATAGTGAAGAATTTGTTAAATTTTTGGAAAAACAGGTCTAGCCATTTTGGAGATCCGATAAAAAAAGTTACAAAAAATGCCATTTGGCGATCAAAAATTTGGAAATTTTTCAAAATCTTTGAATTACGATACAGCAATTTGCCTCAAGGCACGTTGCCATGCACCACCAGTTCATACTTAGACTTCCACAATTGTAACAAATATCACAGTTTATTTTAAATTTTATGCATATAGATTTACATTTTCAAACCAAGCACACAAGGTCTAGTTAACTGTAAAAAACTACACAACAAAGAAAAAATCGTAGTCCAATTTTCGAACACTTATTATGTATTTTTATGAATTTAAATTTATATCAAGCTATAAAGACGATAACGTAATATCGTTATGAAATATTAGACAAAACACCACACTATGAATATGAATCATATATTTCACGGTACGATATTAAATCGTGCGTCGTAGTACCTAAGGCTTGCGATAATAATAGAATTCAGTCAGAGTTTCCATTTGTTTATTGAAATCTATTTCAATACCACTATAATAAATCATAATTTCCGTAAGGTCATCATAATAATAATTAATTTTGCTGGAACACATTAAAACAAAAACCTTAGGTAAACGACAAATTGGCATTGTTACTACTAAAAAATGATACCAATCAAGTTGAATTAATTAGTTCTTTATAGAGTAAGCCCTGTACTAATGAATTTAGGTGATAGAAAGTAGGCTTATGTAAAAATTAGCTAAATTCGAATACATATATAAATTATAAAACTATTTCAAAATTTCTGAGTATTACTCTAGTTGGCCCTACTCCCGTAACAATAATAACGGTGCATAGTAAGATTCATCATGAGGCATTATGGTTCCGTCACACAGAGCACATAAAATAAACTGGAAATAGAAAAAGAGAACCTTTCGCAATTTAAAAAATTATATGTATATATATATATATATATATATATAATCTTCAACGTGTTACATAAATTTTTCTTATGCGGATTACCGCTTACACACATGTACCTACGGATTACCGTTTACACACCAATAAGAATTTTATATCAATTTTCGTCAGGTCATTTTATTCATTGGAATATTAAAAATATATTGATAATTTTATTGATTGATTTTATTTATTCTTATAAATAAAATTCTTCTGTACATGTGTATGATTTGATACTTCTCCTAAACGGTTATTCGGATCTTGATAATTCTTTCTAGAGTTTGCCAAAGAAAATTTTTAAAATTTAATAAACGATAAAACTATAGTAATATTGTAGAAATAAATGGCAACAATTACAAAAAAACACTTATCATTACTTACGTTAATACGGCAGCTTTCTGTATTGATTACCGTTTACACTTATACATAAAATTTTTTTATCAACTTTTTTTTCAGATCATTTTATTCATTGGAACATTGAAAAATATAATAATGCAATAATTGATTTATTTTGTTATATTCCTAACGTTTTATTCTAGTAATATTAATTATATTCTCTAATATATTACATAGATTTTTTTGTCAAAATTGGTATAAATACAACAGTTGTTTGTAAAGATTATTTTAAAAAAATTGCAATTTCAAAAAGTATATATATATATATATATATATATATATATATATATATTATATTCTCTAACGTATATCATAAATTTGTTTGCCATAATGATTACCGTTTACACACATATGTGAATATTTGGATTTCATAATAATTCATGATATTAATTATATTAAAAAAATCGAATAGCGGCGTTATTATGTTTTTCATTTTCCCAAAAAAAACATTTTTGTCATTTTCAATCGATTGATACTAAAATAGGTTAAAGTATGTGTGTGTAAATGATTATGCATAAAATTTGATCTTTCGTCCACGTTTTTTCTAAAACGGCTGTACCGATTTTAAAAATAAATAAGCCATTTGATGTAACTCCATAATGACTCGTGGTGATTAGTTTTTCACAAAGATCGGTTGAGCCATTTCTTTAGAATTAGCAAAAATGTACAAAATTTTTCATCTACGTTTTCTCTAAAACGGCTGTACCGATTTCAAAAATTTATAAGTCATTTGATGTAACTCTATTAGGACTCGCAGTGATTAATTTTTAGCAAAAATCGGTTGAGCCGTTTCTTTAGAATTAGCAAAAAAGTGCAAAATTTTTCATCTACGTTATCTCAAAAAACGGCTGCACCGATTCAAAAACAGTTTATTGTAATATTTATTTAAAAAATATTGAAATTTAAATAATCGCATATATATATTATATTTTCTAACGTATATCGTAAATTTGTTTGCGGTATTGATTACCGTTTACACACATATATGAATATTTGGATTTCATATTAATTCATTATATTAATTATATTTTTGAAAAATCTAATAGCAGCTTTATTATTTTTTTTTATTTTCCCAAAGAACGTTTTAGTCATTTTGAATCGATTGATACTAAAATAGGTTAAAGTATGTGTGTAAATGATTATGTATAAAATTTGCCCTTTCGTCCACGTTTTCTCTAAAAACGGCTGTACCGATTTTAAAAATAAATAAGCTGTTTGATGTAACTCAATTAGGACTCGATGTGATTAATTTTTTGCAAAAATCGGTTGAGCCGTTTTTGTTGAATTAGCAAAAAAGTGCAAAATTTTTCATCTGTGTTTTCTCTAAAACGACTGTACCGATTTCAAAAATAAATAAACCATTTGATGTAACTCGATAAGGACTCGCATTGATTAGTTTTTCACAAAGATCGGTTGAGCCGTTTTTTAAGAATTAGCAAAAAAGTACAAAATTGTTCATCTACGTTATCTCAAAAACGGCAGCATCGATTGAAAAACAATTTATTTTAATATTTATTTAAAAATATTGAAATTTAAATAATTACATATATATATATATATATATATATATATATATATTATATTCTCTAACGTGTATCATAAATTTGTTTGCCATAATGATTACCGTTTACACACATATATGAATATTTGGATTTCATATTAATTCATTATATTAATTATGTTTTTGAAAAATCTAATAGCAGCGTTATTAATTTTTTTATTTTCTTAAAAAATATTTTTATCATTTTGAATCGATTGATACTAGAATAAGTATGGGCGTGTAAAAGTAAAAGTGTAAATTTTGCTCTTTCGTCCAAGTTTTCTCAAAAACGGCTGTACCGATTTCAAAAATAAATAAGCTATTTGATGTAACTCGATCAGTACTCACATTG